CTCTCTCTCTCTCTCTCTCACACACACACACACACACACACACACACACACACACCCCCACACCCACACACCCACACCCACACACACAGAGACAGGCATCATAGCACCCCAGTGACCAACCCTCAAATGAAATATGGAAAACTACCGTCTCCCCGCAAACGCAATGCACACAGCCTCTCTCTCTCTCGGACACACACACACACACACACAGGCATCATAGCACCCCAGGGACCAACACTCAAGCTGAAAAATGCAAAACTACAGTCTCCCCGCAAACGCAATGCACACTCAAGTGACTCAACTCTGCATTGTACCTGAATGATGATTTGTATATATTTTCATTCTCACAGTTCACTAAATTCAAAAAGGCATATACCCACTCACACAACCACCTGCAGCTCCACTAGCATCCTCCCATCCACCCACCCACCTGCACCTCCACAACCCCGCCCCGCTTCGACACCCATCCCCCTACCCAACCGCACCTGCACACCTAACTACCCACCCACACACCGACAGCCACCTCCAGCTCAACCACGCCCACCTCAACCCGTTATCTGAGATTGACAGGCTGGGTCTTGTTTGTCTGCCTGCAACCAACGCCGTTGATTTAAGCCTTCACGGGTGAAAAGACAATACCGACACGGCGAAACGGTAATTTCCAACCAGAATCCAAATGCTATGAATCTCAGCCACAAACAGAATCCAAATATCATGAAATTTCAGCCACAAACGAGCAGTCAGCGGCATTGATTGAGCGTGACCTCAGAATAGAAACACCAACAGATCGACAACGTCAACACGCAACAAAAAGGTCCGGTTGGTGTTCCCCTGTACTATGCATTAAGTAGCGAGACTATGAGTGAGACAGATGAGGATTGAGAGCGAATAGTATATAGATCTAAAGAGAATAAAAAGAACATTAACGACTGATGCTCGTACGAAAATGTCAAGGTCCATATGTCATGTCAAATCCCATCCTCAACGAAACTCAACCATCGGGCGGACAAACGCAACGCAACGCAACGGTGTGGCACCGTCGTATTTCCTTCCTCGGCGTAAAACAACATAACACCCAAAAAATAACAGTCAAAACGAGTGAGACACCACCTCTCCTAGGGATACCAATCCCTGGTCAACGTGGCCAGTCCTTATCGAGCAGTCAAATGCGTTCTGGGCAGACCGTCGGCACTGTCGAGGTTCGATCTCGTCGTGACACATCGGTGGAAACCGGCGAAAGTCTTGTAGATTCGTACAGTCAGTAGACTCGTACAGTCAAACATCCACAACACACGCCTTAAACGCGCGCGCACACACACACACACACACACACACACACACACACACGCCACACACACAAAGTCGCAGCAACTAAGCACCCCCGGAAACGCTGATATGCCCATCCGACTGCCTGTGTAACCCGTGGGCCCTTCCTGCCAAACGGGAAAAGAGTTTGGGCGCGCGAGACCAACAAAGTCTCCGCGTGGGCGTTTTCCACCAATTATCCCCGGAATGTTCACATGATTCGGACAACCCAAGGCCGAGACCAACAAAGTCTCCGCGTGGGCGTTTTCCACCAATTATCCCCAGAATGTTCACATGATTCGGACAACCCGAGGCTGAAATCATATCCGCCTCTCATTCGCCTCTCATGTTACCAACGCGATTGACAGGTAGCCCGCAACGCACGGCGCACGCACAAAACGTCACAAAGACAGACACTCGAAACTACCGCCCTAGATCGGGTAAAAAGCATCGTCCTGACGCGCCCATATGGCCCCGGCAAGGGAGAGAGAGAGAGAGAGAGGGAGAGAGAGAGAGAGAGAGGGAGAGAGAGAGAGGGAGGGAGGGAGAGAGAGAGAGGGAGGGAGAGAGAGGGAGAGAGACCTACGCACAAACCGTCACAATACCGCCCTGGGCCGGGTAAAAAACATCGTCCTGACGCGCCGAGAGAGAGAGAGAGAGAGAGAGAGAGAGAGAGGATTTGGGAGTAGAGAAGCTCCACCTTTGAAACTGCCTGGCAGTGAAGGTCAGGGATGCGAAGTCAAACTGGTCGTCAGCAGTCAAAAGCAGAATAAACCCGACGACTGCACCGCCTGTCTCGATCGATGAAGGCTGTAGAGACCCCACAACACCGGACACCCCTTCGGTCACAGACTCGTGAACCTGGGAGCTGTGTGAGTTGAGCGACTCAACTGCGAGAGGACGTCCGCCGCAGTTCAACTAGAACGGAGGCACACGTCGCAGTTGATCTTGGAGCGTATGGAGAGTGATCTTATAGAGCAGCGATTGCGCTGTTGCCCTGCGGGATAGCCTGCCCGAATTCGGGTAGCCGCAGCGCGCTTGCCCGCCTCTCGCCAGAGGACCTCGCTGCACCACACCATACACACTACATGCATTTGGACGCTTTCTTCGCCGGATACGCTCATAGTGTTGGACTCGTCCAAATGCACCTGGTCGGGAAAGCGTCCAAATGTATGTGCAGTTTTGTGTAATGGAGCGACGCCAGTTTCTCGGAGAGAAGCTGTGGTTGATAGGCGATAGCTGGCACGTAGCCATGCAGGAAGTCCATTCTCTTTTTGCTTTCTGTTTTTTGTTTTTTGGTTTTCGTTTTTTGTTTTTCGTTTTTTGTTTTTTGTTTTCTGTTTTTTGTTCTTCTATTTTCTGTTTTTTTATTTTTGTTCTTCTATTTTTTGTTTTTTGTCCTTTCTGGCAACCAGATGAACCAACGTAGACACAAGATAGAATTTGATTGGGCCAATTAGCCTTTAGACAAAACCGGGAAAAAGAAGAAGTCCGAGAGGTCCAGTTGGTTGCGTGGGCGTCTCGCTAAACGATATCTTCAATTTAATCGCCCCCTCAGACGGAGAGCGTACTCACACTAGGACATATCTGGATGAATCTGACCGAATTTACTGCCTAGGGTAGGTGTAACTGACCGCACTTACCTCCAGAGCTGTTGGCCCCTGTTTTTTTTTTTTGGGTATCCTACATGTGATCTTTGTTAAGCCTTGGGCACTGGGCACGTGTAATAAATTGACAGCCGGTTTAAAAAAAAAAAAAAAAAAAAAAAAAAAAAAAGTCCAAGTGTAAGTATGTATGAGGGCATACTCACACCACGACCTTTCTACGTATTTCTGCATGGAACTGTCGCCTGATACAACCAGGTATGGCTGTAAACAAGGCCAGGTACATTTGACACACTGCTACTGTGAGCAGACCCTGAGTGACCCTTGGATAGCACGTACCGCCCACACGATCTGGTTGGCGGGTGCTCGATCGTGACCGACTACGAGCGTCACGACATTTCAGATCAGAAAACTACGGACGGAATTGCGACGTGTCAAATTTGTCGCTCTTCCAGGGACGGGCCTCGCCGCACGGCGCACAAACGAAAACGAAACGAGTGCATCTGCCCACGGAAGGTGGCAATGCACTCGTTTCGTTTTTTGTTTGGTGTGCCGTGCGGCGACGCCCGTAGCCATGCAGTGCCGTCACCCTGAACGTGACCCGCCCCCGGTGAGTCAAGAGTCAACGGTGACCCGCCGGTCATATGCCCCTCTGCCCGTGAATGGGCAAACCATAAGAGAGCTGTTTTTTTTTCCTGTTTAGTTTCACGGCTCACCCCACCACCATCGCCACAAGCCCCACAATGCCATCGTAATGACCCCTGTGACCTGTCAAACAGGGACGAATAAATGAGGATTATGAAGGCCTCATTAGCAGGGAAGAGAAGGAAGCTGAAGTGGACTTTCTCTCCATACCCTCAACCGCGGCAGCTGTACAGTAGCACGCCAGCCCACGTGGGCCTCTCGCGCCGGGGCGCAAACAGCCACTGTCCATCAGGAGCCATCAAGTAGTGGACAGGCAGCGACCACAGTGAGGCATCAGTTGGTCGTCCTGTGCTTCACGCTCTCACCTCAAGGCACCAAGTTCATGGCTAGACGAACGGAAAAAGGTGTGCTTGCCATACCGTCAGTCGCAGTGAGCTCTTTACCAACGACCAAGGAAGCGGTCAAGGCAGTAGCGGTTACCTTTATAGCGGCTACCTTTAAAAATGACCGCTTCCTGTTTCGGCTGGTTCCCGGTATCCGAATCGGACGCAAGACGGTCGCAGCAGCAGCAGGAGGAAGTTGGCACTTCTGGCACTTCTGGATCGGAGTCCTCGACGTCAAAATCACGCTGGACAGTACAGCTCTGCTTGGAACACACGGAGTAGTACGGCTACCTTCAACATGGCTGTCAGCAGCCTCAGCAGCACTTCTGGCTGGTACCCTGATTTTTTAATTAAAAAAAACAATATTATTTGTGAAAAAATATATAAATTATGGGGGGGTACCTTCCTATGACTCCCACCCTCCTACCAAAAAAAACTTCACAGTCACAGACACCCCTTTCCTGAAAGGGGTACCGCACTTGTCCAGAGCACCGTGACCCTCTATGAGACAAATTGATCGACATCCGGCACCCGGTCCATGCACGGCCATTGCCAGACACTGAGGCACAATACGCGAGAGTATATTGACCGACTTCTCACCACTACGACTCAACAACCCCATCAAATACCTGAACCACCTCCAACGGGGTTCAAAAACTTGGTTCGCCAGTTGTCTTTTCCCAATGCGGCCTACCCCTGACTTTCAGGGAGGGCAGCACTGAATTTCACGGAGGGCTGCCCTGAATTTTGGGGATTGGGTTACCGGAGCAAAACGGCCGGCCGCAGCGGCCACAAGAAGGCCAGCGCTGTTCTTCTTTGTTTGTGCCTCTTCATCTTTGTTTGGAGCGCAGGGCGTTTCCAAGGTCAGGAAAATGTTGGAGGTGAAATAACAAACATACAAACCTTATTACGAGAAAGCACATACAACCCAGGAGAACCGGAACATCGGGCTCGAGAGTTACTACTTCTCCGGGTTCTCCCCACCTCACTTCATCACCCAGTGATTTCCCATACTACACCATTGTTCCTCCAACCCATTCGGGAAAATCTTGGGCTAGGTAGTGCACGGCGGCTCCTAAGGAGCAAAAATGTGATGAGAGGGACTCAGATGAAACAATACAACACCAATAGACATGAAGTGGGATTCAGACATTGATTTTGGTCCCTACCATCCATTATTATTATTATTACTACTACTATTATTATTATTATTATTATTATTATTATTATTATTATTATTATTATTATTATTGTTATTATTACGGAACATTTTCGAAATGGCCTTGAAGTTTGCATTTATTTGCGTCATGCCCCCTGTGAAGGCCAACTTACCCTGTTATTCGCCTCGGGCCTCTGAAATTTTCCGCAGGCCCCTGTCAGCAAAGGGTGTACCTTTCCGATATGCCCTTACTGGACCGCTGGTGGCGTTTCGCCAGTCCGTCCTTGAAATGCCCTCACGAGGGGCACACATCTTTCTGTGATGCCCTTGCAGCAGTGGCGGCATGAATTCGAACTCGAAAATGGTAAGTATTTCACTCGCCGCCACGGAAAAATGGTGCAGCAGTCAGTCTTCAAGTTCGCCGCGCTATGGATCGCTGCTCCCTCCTCCTCCACCCATGCTCATCGCCCTCCTCCCTCCTCCTCCACCCATGCTCATCGCCCCCCTCCCTCCTCCTCCATCCATGCTCGTCACTCTCCTCTCTTCTCCTCCCGCCTCCATCCTCTATCCTCGTCCATCGTCGTAGTCCTTGTCCTCCCTACTCCTCTTCCCTCCTCTTCCCTCGTTTGATATGCCCTTACTGGACCGCTGGTAGAGTTTCGTCGATCCGTCCTTGAAATGCCCTCACGAGGGGCACACATCTTTTTGTGATGCCCTTGCAGCAGTGGCGGCAGGAATCCGAACTCGAAAATGGTAGGTATTTCACTCGCCGCCACGGAAAAATGGTGCAGCAGTCAGTCTTCAAGTTCGTCGCGCCATGGATCCCTGCTCCCTCCCCCTTCACCCATGTTCATCGCCCTCCTCCCTCCTCCTCCATCCATGCTCGTCGCTCTCCTCTCTTCTCCCCCAGCCTCCATCCTCTATCCTCGTCCATCGTCGTAGTCCTTGTCCTCCGTACTCCTCTTCCCTCGTTCTCCCTCCTCCAACTTCTCCTCGTCACCCCTCCCTCTCCTCGGCTCCTCGATTGTCGACCTCCTAACTAGTGTAACCATCACCATGGTCGTCTTCTTGGCATCATCGCCCGTGTACACGCGCACGTCTGTGTATGTGTGTGTGTGTGTGTGTGTGTGTGTGTGTGTGTGTGTGTGTGTGTGTGTTGTTGTCATCTTTTCGTTTACTTGTTTGTTGGACAGGTGGTATATGATGACGAATCGAATGTCCTCCCTAGTCCTCTTCCCTCCTCTTCCCTCGTCCATCATCGTCATAGTCCTTGTCCTTCCTACTCTTCCCCCCTCTTCCCTCCTCTTCCCTCCTCTTCCCTCGTATGGACTGCGTGTGTCAACAACAGCGACAGGGGCTTGCTGGAAAGATGGACGGTACCAGTAAGAGCATATGGGAAACTTTTCTGCTGGTTCTCAACAGGCAGCCGGTAGGGGCATACTGAGAATTTGGTACCGGTACCGGTAGGGGCATATGAAACATGTTTGAGGCCCAAACGACCCCAGGGGTTTTTTGGAAATATCATTTGTCGTCAGAGAGGCACAACAAAGTAAGTCGGTCGTCATAGGGACACGACGCAAATAAACGCAAACTTCAAGGGCATTTCGAAAATTTTCCCTTATTATTATTATTAGGCCCATTAGGGATAATTTGCAACATACCCTCATAAGTTGAAATATATATGACAAAATGCCCCTGAAAGATGTGGGAAGAGCGGAATGCCCTTTTCGGCCGAAATCTTTGTGTTGTGCCACTGTCAGGCGACGGTGCAACTTTGCAATCTAGACCTCTCCATTTGGGCGTTGGGCTTTTGCAATAACGCCTAGGACAAGTTGGCAACAATGGCAAGTACTGAGGCCTTTTGCAAAAGTTGGACGGTATCTGGTAGGGGTAAATTGCAAAGATGGGGGTCCAATCAACGCCACGGTTATTTGAAGTCGTATTTCACAAAATATATTTTTTCTTAGAGGGGCATTCCGCTCTACTCACATCTTCTAGGGGCAATTTTGCATGTATCTAATAATATCTCAACTTATGGGAGTACTTTGCAAATTATCCCTTATTATTATTATTATTTTTTTTATTTTTATTTTTTTTAATAAATTTTAATCATGTT